TCGGCTGTTGTTAATTGCTGCCTTCTTGTTCTTCCTTTCTTTGATCTTGTCCAGTGTTTCTATAGAGATCCATTCCTTATGATGGTGTTTCTTTAGGCCCAGAACCTCTTGACACGTTGAAGTTAATGCTTCCTTGATGCCTTTCCAGTTGTCCTCCATACTAGTTTCTTCTTCTTTCAGTAGATCTTGTAAGGCTTGGAACCTGTTGTTGAGAGCTATCTTGAATTCATTGAGTTTGTCAGTATCTCGAAGGAAGGCTGTATTGAACCTTTGTAGTGCTGTTTGTCCACTTGTCCAGTTCTTTTTTAGCTTCAGTTTTAAATTGGCTACAACTAGGTGGTGATCTGAAGCTACGTCAGCACCTCTCCTGGTTCTCACATCTTCCATTGTCCTTCGGAATTTTTTGTTGATGCAAATATGATCTATTTGGTTCTCTGTAGTGTGGTCCGGTGAGATCCATGTAGCCTTGTGTATACGCTTGTGTGGAAATATTGTGCCTCCTATGACCAATTTGTTGAATGCACATAGATTTGCAAATCTTTCTCCATTTTCGTTTCTCTGTCCCAGTCCATGTCGTCCCATAATATCTTCATATCCGGTGTTGTCTATTCCGACTTTGGCATTTAGATCTCCCATCAGAATAGTTAGGTCCTTTCTTGGCATTTCTCAATGATTGACTGCAGCCGCTCGTAGAACTGATCTTTAATGTCGTCGTTGCTATCATTGGTGGGTGCATAACATTGGATAATATTCATTAAGATCCCCTCCTTCTTTGTTTTGAATGATGCTTTGATGATTCTGGATCCGTGAGACTCCCATCCTACAAGTGCATTTCGTGCTACTTTGGACAGCATAAGAGCGACTCCCTGAGTGTGTGGAGCATTGTCCTCTTCGTGACCGGAGTATAGCAGCATCTCTCCCGTAGCTAGCCTTTTCTGTCCAGCTTGGGTCCAGTGGGTTTCGCTGATTCCCAGTACTGCTAAGTTGTATCTCCTCATTTCCATTGCTATTTGACTGGTCTTCCCGGTTTCCCACATTGTTCGAACGTTCCATGTACCTATAAAAATTTTTGCTCTGGTTGTTAGAAGGGGCATCGGCCTCGTGGCTTCCGAAGGAACTCGGCTTTCACCATGAAGCGTCATAATTCTTCTAACTGAAGACCTTCTAACTCCCAGGGCAGAGTTTAAATGGTTTGAATTATTTTTTCTGGTAAGCGTTTTTTTAGCGAGTTAGTTTTCTACGGGATGGGGACGCTAACCCCATGCCCAACCCTCCTTCTTTACCCGGGCTTAGGACCGGGAGTAACTCTAGAAGAGCTACAGGTGGAGTTATAAGTAGCATACACCACAGAGATATTACCAACCGAAAAATGGCTAGAATAGCAAAGCGCCCCCAAATGCCCTGGTACAGCCGAGAGTGAGGAAAGTCAGCTCTCCTTCTCAAACTACCCTCACATGTCCACATGCATAAAACCACTGCCAGGAAAGACCTTCTCTCTGCCCTCTCGCGACGGGGGTGTTGTTTACGAAATTGAGAGGAAGAAAAGCGAATATCCGACACTTTAACCAGGTTGGTGATCATGGAGAATACACCTAGGGAAGTTGGATGATGACTTAGATTACGTCAACTTTCCATCCTTTAACAATTTCATACAAATTACACATGGTGAATTAGAAGTAGTCTAGCTTTTTAGTTACATATAGACAAAGTTTTGAAAGAATCTGTCTCACGATCTTACCTTTATTGTGTTGAAGATGCTAAACATACATAAAAATATGTGATTCCGTTGATGCAATAAATGAGTAGACTAAAAGACGCAACAATTAAAGAAGACAAATCCAATATGATATATAGAACAAATTGAGTCAACTGTGACAAAAATTATATTGGACAAATTACACTTCCGTCTTCATCCACAAATACACGAGAATAAACTGACAGTAAAACAAAATGTTGTCAGTCATATCATTGCACACCGATAATCCTACAGACATGAATTTGACTGGGAAAATATCAAAATCATTGATTGAGGAAATTCAAGGGAGCAGAACATTCAGGTCAACCCTTACAAGCAATAGACAGATCGGCATGAAGTCTGTTTACCAACCAATCATATATCTAGGTGCCAAGTTGCTCAACAAGGATACAAAGACAAGTAGGGTTGACAAAACCTCTGAAAACAATCATTTACCGGCAAAATCATTGAAACAACTTAACGTAACACTTGTTGATTAACTAAAAGCCTCACTTGTACATGAGATGAACACTGATAATGTTGTCCATAAAGATATTAAAAGCATTGTAATCAAACGACTCAACTTAGCGAACATACTGTGGTGAACGAGAACGCCGGTGAGCAATATCAACTTGTTGTTTAATGCGAAATTACAGTATCTTCTTGAAACATGAAAATCATACATTAAATACTTCATTTCCACATCTTCCATTAGTTGTCTCTTACAAACTTCATCGTTCCTCCATTCCCGTTGTTATTATAATTACTCTCTGTTTACATTCCTGTTCTCTTCAATGATATCTCAACCTTCGACTGCCAGACATTCCATTTCTGATTAATATTACATACTACTTATACCTGTCAACATAAGTAGCATACACCACAACATCACAACCATGTCACAAACAAATACAACTTGATTATTCTACTGGTATTTCCCAGTAGTTATAAATAAACACAGTAATTGGATAAAAGTTTAATTATTTGTACAAAATTCATCTACATTACTTGACTGATTTCACTTAAGACGATTAATTAGATCTCTGATAGGACAACAGAGTAAAAATGTTTTCTATCGTCACGACAAACTGCCGTTATAGGATCAATGACAAAAATTATATCACAACCACACTGGATACTCATTCGATAAGCCATACACAGATTGAAATCACGTTATGCCACATACAAGAACAACTATAGTGTAGGGGCTGGTCATATGTCAAGCCCAAATAAGTTATTTAAGCCTCTGAACAGATCAACCTATTGATTCTTCTCAAGACACATTTTCACCCTGTGATTTATTGATCCTGACTGATTTTATATGATCATGTGTGTGTGTGCATTTCTTATCTTAATCACTACATGTCTGTAACTTATTTTTGTCAGAGTAGAAATATCGATAAACTCTTGGTTAAATCGAGTTGGCTCACACTTCTTCACCACGCGTCATTTCGTTACGCTCTCTTGTCTTCGCTGCTCCGACCGTTTGTCTGGATCGACGATTGTATGAAATACACGTATTTGACTTATTTAATTCCATTCTTCACTAACGCGAGTTAAATCGATAAATATATACGAGGATTGGCGACATGTATATTTCAATAAAAATCATAGTACGATTTAAACGGAGTCGGATATCGGGCCACTAAAAGAGAGGCAAAGTATAAGCTAAGCAATACTTTATCCAAAGACAATTACAATTAGTTTACATTTAATGAGTTAAAAGTAGAAATCAATAATAGGAAGGAAATCACATAATAATGAATGAGTCTGTCCGCGCTTGTTGGGGACGATAGATCCCCAAAACTCATATTTGTAATTTTATCACATCGACTAACTTATCGATTAAATGGCAGTCAATTGATGAACTCATTGATTAATGTTTAAAAATTTCCCATGGCAATATCGATTATATATATTTGTATATATACGTTTTAAATTGTGTTTGTGGGCTCGCTCGTTTTTTGGCTGTTTGCAGAATATATTTTCCATACCAAGCTTGGACTTCTCTTTCTAGATAGCGGGGCTGGAACGCATCAATAGCTAGTTTACTGGTCTTTGATCACTGAGTCTTGTTCTCGTTCGCAGATTAAGTGAACTCTTGAAGCTTCAAACCTAACAGCGCTCGGCGTCCAAAAGTGACTTCTAAAACGGATTAGTTGCATAAACCAGATCCCAATTGAGGAGGAAATTAGAAAGAGACGCTGGGGGTGGATGTGAAACACTTTACGGAAATTATCAGACTGCATCACAAGGGAAATCATAACTTGGAATTTTCAAGACAAAAAGAAAAGATAGACCACGGAACACACGGCGCTGGGGATTGGAGGTAGATATCAAGAGAATGAGTAGCGATTGACAAGAAGTAGGACAGTCCAGAACGGAGTTAGCTGGAGATTCTTGATCGGGGACTGATGGCTCAAGGGGAGTGATAGGCTTAAGTTACTAAGTAAGCTCATTGCGTCGTACTACATTGAAGATATCGACTTGGTTTTGTCTAGTCTGAACGTCTGGTACTTAGTGATTTTTCGATCCACACTGTGCACACAGTCCATCTGTCCCCCATTACATTTCAAACTACACTGCTTTCACCGAGACCGAACGAATATCATATGATGCCTTTCCCTACTTATTATCATTAAACGACCGTCACTTAAAAAGTAAAAATGAAGAAACATCCATGACGTAAAATGCTGATTATCAATAGTATCAGCTTGAGTACAAGTAACAAATACCTTTTAATACTTCAAAACACGAGATAAATTCAGTTAAACAACCGATAAAAACCATGTATTGACTAGTGACTAATTCCAGGAGTTCTAGTGAGAATCTGTCACTGGTACAGTTTGAATAAATCTAGTGTGGGCCAATTATTTACCATCAACATCAGAAGATGACTATGTAATAACGTGAACTGATTGGACTTAGAAATACAAACTATTAAGTGCCAACCCAGTGATCTGAAAGTTTATCGCTAGCCTGAAGATGTAAAGAGCGTGAACTCAACCGTCAGTGAAGTTATGAATATATACTGTCAAGAAGTCTAATACTAGAACAAAACAACCTTAGAACGCCTCCTTCTTTCAATGGTTTTTTAATTAAGATCAGTTCGTGAATTATGCTACAAGAAATTCAGTAATCTCTTACACTGGAAATATCTTTTTACTACATTATTCTATAACTCCGCCTGTAGCTGTTCTAAAGTTACTACCGATCCCAAGCCCGGGTAAAGGAGAAGGGTTGGGCATGGGGTTAGCAATCCCATCCCGTAGAAAACTAACTCCCTAAAAAAGTCTCCGGTATGTTTATTTAAATTACAAAAGTATTTAGAAAAAATTATGTGAATCAAAACATATTAAACAAACTTTCATTATGGATTTAAATAAACCATAAGGGAGGATATTACATATACACAGATGATAGTTGAAAGATCGATTACAGCTTGTTATTGATCATTGAACAAATGGAACAGTGCAAATACATACATACATATACAAAAGAGCTTCTCCTATAAAAGAACAAACAAACTGAAACATTGAATATATCGATGGTAAGTGGTATAAACCATTGTAAGCAAATGGTAATTACATAGATACATATGCAATTGTAATACTGATTTAAATAATCTACCTACAACAAACATACCTTACGCAAATCATCACACTACATAACGAGGCAAGCCTTAACTTAAAATCCTGAAGGGAAACGGAAAAGAGGAAATCCAAAGAACACATTACGTCGGGAAGTAGAAGCAGACATGAAAAAGATGAATAACAACTGGAAAAACTGGAAAGGATTGCTCAGGACAGGGTTGGATGGAGAACGCTGGTGAGCGGCCTATGCTCCTTAATGAGGAGTAACAGGCGTAAGTAAGTAACAACAGAGATATTAATCATATGGAAAGATGGAACATTAACAAGTATGTTGACAAATCAACAAGAAGTAAAAGAAAATCACAACCATCGAAAGAAGAAATGGTGTTTCGTATGTATAGAGAACTCAGTCCCCATACTCAACATAAACAAACAATACAATGAAAGGCAAGAGTAAATAACACAAAATTATGACTATTGATCCCTTCTTAAATATCACATATGTATTGTGTATCATGAATGGAGACAATGTAAGAAATTGTACAAAAAAAGAAACATATCACAGAACAATAAAATAATAAGGTATACACACGTGACGATGATTTTAACTACATAAAATTAAAATGAATCCAATTCGTATGTACACAACACTGTTACATGATGATTTCAATTCTATGGACGGTTCTCCTTCTTTCTTTCTTTCTTTTTTACCAGTCACAGCGTTACTTTAGATTTTTTCCAAAAAAAAAAGAAACTAAGATTTCATGTGAATTTGATCAATTTCGCGTTGAACGATGTCGTCGTCGACGACGATAACAACAACGTCGGTGATGATGTTGTTATCGTGATTTTTTAAAATTTTTCAAAATAGTTTTATTTATAATAGTAATTGGTTTAGTTTGTTGATGATGTTGTTGAATCAATGGTGAAATATTAGTTAACTTATTATTAACATTCATTTGTGATTGAATTTTTGTTAGATCAATTGGTTCAGGGGGATTTTTCATTGTAAAATTTAAAATTGGTTGTTGAGCATTCAAATTCACTTTAACAATATTTGATTGAAGAGATGTAACAGTTTTAGTAGTAGTAGTAGTAGTACTACTACTACTTCTAGTAGTAGTATCAACAATATGATCCCTTGATAATAATTGAAGATTATTCTTATTAATTCCATTTAAATTATTCAATGGATTTATATTACCATTATTTGTATGATGGACTGTGAAAAATTCTAATGAGAATAAAAGGCAACCAACTAATAGTAGACAATAAGCACTAATTGAATGATTACGATAAATTTGTAAAAAACGTGAAATACTACTACTACTACCATTGTAATGATGATGATGATGATGGTGATGATTACCATTTTTTATTGTGGCGACAATAAGTACCAATGCTGGTAAAATGAAACCAGTCAATGAACCAGCTACACTAGTTGTATATCGAATGATTACTTCAACTGAAATAATAATAAAGAAAAAAATAACACATTTCACTATGTATTAATAATGAGATGGAAAGAGGAGAACAGAAACTTTTGTGAATCATCAAAATTTATTTTATCTGACATTTAGAATGAGACTACTGATATAAGTTCTGAACATATTAGGTCTAATCCATGTAGAATTAAAGCAATATCAGGGGGAGATGTCAGACAGTCAGCTACAACATAGGACCAGGCACATATATGCATCAGTCCAAGTTGCCATATCTCAGGGAAGATGTAATCTCATGTTGACCGATGACCCTAAAGCAACTTACTTACTTACGCCTGTTACTCCTCGTGAAGGAGCATAGGCCACTCACCAGCATTCTCCATACAACCCTGTCCTGGGCAATCCTTTCCAACTCCATCCAGTTGTAATTCATCCTTTTCATATCTGCTTCTATTTCCTGACGTAATGTGTTCTTTGTCCTTCCTCTTTTCCGCTTTCCCTCAGGAATCCAAGTTAGGGCTTGCCTCGTGATGCAGTTTGATGATTTGCGTAATGTATGTCCTATCCATTTCCATCGTCTTTTCCTAATTTCTTCTTCAGTTGGAAGCTGGTTTGTTCTCGCCCAGAGAAGGCTGTTGCTGATACCCTAAAGTAAGCTTGTTAGCTATTTGCTGACTTATAATCAAGGAACTCATGTACTCCTACTGATTTGAAATCACGGGGTTTCGCAATCATTTGTACCAAACTAACTGAGCTCATGGTATCAGATATTCGCCTTCCGTTCTCTCACATTTGCAAACAATAGTCTTTTCCGTGTGGAGGTACTGAGTAGGACTTCTCTGGAAGTAATACCACTACTATCTCTTCTACTCCTACTATTATTCCGACTCCATAGCTATGCGCATATTGTTGATTTCATTTCTGTATGTTATTTCAGTGCTTAAGAACTTGGACCGATAATAGTTAATAAAAAACTTATTTATCAGGCAATCAGGTATGAGCCACACTCAGTGTGAGAGCTAATGATACTACTACGCAGTTGTCAAGAACGAAATAGACGAGGTGAAGCTCGAATCCTGGATTTAGTGGCGTTATAAGTTGAACCTCTTTAACTATTAAGCGCTACTGATCCATACAATTTCAGATCAACTATTAATTGGTCTACATTGTCTAAGACAGATTAAAAACAATAACAAAAATACTGTATAAAATAAAACATTTGAAAGTACTTTTATCCGTAGTTAAACTGAGAAGAAACGAGACAAGTAGTAATGAGATAGTGATTTTTTGAATAAACCTTTTTGGAACTTCTTCAGAAATCATAGGAGTTGAATCGATTTCCAAATCCACACCAAATGAAGTTAATCTCTTTGGGAGAGAAAAGAAAACGGATTTGCCATAAAAAATCCTAAGAAATAAAAGACTTTTTATTGTTTGTAAAATATTAATCATTAATACGATAAAATCGTAGAATAACACTGCTTGTTTTTAGAGAGAAAGATAAGTTGAGCTTATCAGTGACACTAAGTAACAATGCCTGGATGTTTGAGATGAGTTTCTCTCCCTCTAAATGTAAATTGTTGCTTCAGGACTGGCCTACGTCAACTAAGGATAATGAGAGAAGTAGTCGAATGCGTCGGCAACTTCACTTATCTTCGACAACCCTAATGGGTTGATGTCTGACAAAATCACTACACAGATTCAGAAAGATCGTTTGGCTTTCGCTAACTCACATCACCTATGGTGAAGGTGAGATATCCGTCTATCAATTCAGAGATGAGTATACCTCGCGGCAGTTCGTTCTGTTATACTTTACGGCTGCGAAACGTGGCCATAAAGAGTAGAAGATACGCGTAAATTACTAGTTCGTGGAGGTTCTACGACTTTTGAGTTTGACGGATGGTTCCTGGCTATGTATCCAACGTCGAAAAGTCTCATATTACCATGAAATAGTCGTCTAGTGATCGGTAGTTTTCAATTTTGTAGCGTAATTACTTAGTAGTTAAAGCGTTCAGATTTAAACCATTAGATCACGAGTTTGAAATTCACGTAATTTTACCTCGGTTTGCGCAACTGTGTGAGGTATCACCGTTAGCTCTCATACAAACAATGCAGCCTAGTAATACTGAGTATATGAACCTATACTCGGTAATTAAACACAATTAACTGACTAAAACCTAATGAGATATTAAAGATACTAATCTATCAGGATGTAAAGATAACTGCTATAATTTTATACATCCTCTATACAATAAATATTAAAATAGTCGATTATCAAACTCCATCGAAGTATTGCTTGTGTATAGCTGAACAACATTGAAGTTAGTACAGAAGTAGAGTACAACGTGGAAATGACATGTTGATAGGTGAAGTTGTGGACTTTTATCATTTGAAATGACTAGGACATATGTTACGTATACTTTCATTGACAATGTGAAATTATTAACAATTATAGTATGATGAGAATGGGTGTTTGTGGAGATCGTAGTAATTTTAACAATTGAATTTATGAGTCGATCTAAGCTAAACCACCACTGAAGGTCCTGGATTCGAATCCCATGTGCATGATAATGAACAAGCACTGTTGAAGAGTCCCATACTGGAACGAACCGGCTGTCCAGTGCTTCCACGTTTTCAATTAGTGTGGGTGACATAGGTGGATCTTTTAATGTCATCATAAACATAACTTGTGAATGGATAATTAAAATCTCACCAAAAACTCGTAATTATTATTCAATCAAAATACAAATCATTTACATCTTTCTTCATATTTATTTTTCAGGAGAATGAAATGCAGATATATATGTTATGATAGGTGTCCGAGATCTAATATTGACACACAACGTGTTACACATTGACCCCTCAAACTGACTAATTGAGCCAGAAGACAAGGGTAAAAGAGAAAGTTTATAGGGCTACCGAATAATATACACAAATACTCATTTGTATGTATACATATATACATTTCAATCAGAAGGGGTTTTGTGGAGATTTAAGAAATTTCAATGATTGAAATCATAAGTCAATTGAAGCTAGATCACTATGAAAAACTGGGATCGTGGATGAGCACTGCTGAGGAGTCTCATACTAGGACGAAACGGCCGTCCAGTGCTTTCAGGTTTTCCATGGTGGTCTAGCTTCAATTGACTCATGATTTCAATCATTGAAATCTCTAAAATCTCAACAAACCCCTTCTGATAATAATCACCTGCTCACAAGTGACTGACTTCAAGAGATACTCCTGGAGTTCTAGTGAGAAGCCGTTACCAGTGGAGTTCAACCAGGTCTGTTGTGAGATATCAACTTACTGAAGACGATGGTGTACGGTGGCACAACTTCGTACATTTCAATCCCATAGAAAATCAGTTCATTTTCTAGCCAATGATATACATTTGTACTCTAGGTCATTTCTGATTGGCTTACTATATACATTAGAGTTCATGCATGTAAATAACAGTATGAAAACCTCTAGAAGATGAGACTATCATTTATTGAACGATCTTTGAGCAATGCTTAAGTGATCTTGAAAATGTCCGCTTACTAAATAGGGTTATAACTAAGTGTGAGGAAAAGTAGTATTAAGAGTAAAAGTTAAAAGTTTGGGGCACCCGGGCAGTATCATAGCCCTCACACATATCAAATGAGATTTGTGTGGCGCATATGTATTTGATGCCTCCTTGTACCAATATCTGTGTTCAAATAAAAATATAAAAAAAAGGGTTTTTCATCATGAACTGAATACAGTTATAATATCCTGATGTTATTTAACCATATAAATAGAATGAAGGAATATCACATCAAAAATCCAAGACTTGCTATCTTAAATCTAATTAGGTCATCCATCAATTACAGTCTATATAACAAACAAGTTATAAGAATTTATCAAAGTTCATAGCCATTAATGACCATGAAAACGAGTGGATAGTGGTGTGTGTGTGTGTGTGGGGGGGTATGATTTGGAAACAAAAAAACAAAAGCAGAATGATATTGATATTTTATAGTAGTACTAATGAAAAGTGAACACTGAAAAGAAGATAGAAACTAAAAGAAGAGAATGAGAATGTCATTGTTGCGGTCATTGTGATTGATTCTTAGAAAATATCAAATCAATTGGTTAACGAAACTATTAAAGTGAATTGAATTCACTTAGTTTCAGCATTTATGTATACACATATAATATAGTGATGGAAGAGACTAAGAGGAATGTGTTGAAATACATTTTATCCCAAAAATCTCAATATTATTACACTAAACGTGTCACATTGAAAAAAAAGTGATTATTTATTCAAAAACATTAACATTGGTACAAACGGGTATCAATATATATGACCTAGACAAATCATTCAATTTATGTGTGGGATAGGATACTGTTCTGATATACAAACCGAATTAGGGTGGTTTTCTTAGAACGGGCCACTCAGCCAACACTCCACATAGAGGCCCAATCTACAAAGGCAATCGAGCAACGTAAACAGATACGGTTCCATGGTATCCGGTGACCGACAATTGGTTTATACGCCATTTGTTCTTTCAAGACCTTGAAGTCCATGTGCACCATTGATGTGGAATCAGAATTTTCTAACTCCATTACATGGGTTCTCCGTTTCCACCAACCCAGTCTGAACGGTGTAAACAAAACCCTCACCGCGAGAAGGCAGTGAGTATATACGTGTGGTCATGTGAAAGCATTTCGAGAGGGAGAGCTGACTCACCCCAATCTCGGCAGCAGCATGGCGTCGGAGAGGGTCGTTATTATTGCCATTATTATCAATTCCCAATTTGATCTACTTTTCCTCAACACTCTAGGTTTAGTTTTTTCCTTCTCTCTTCGAATCTCATTTGTATATTGTACCTTTTATAATTTTATTTTACATAATTTTAAGTTATCTTTGTGTTGTTATGTAACTATTACTGATGCTTAAGACTTAGTAACTGAATTTTCTCTTAACGCTTATTTTTTACTAGTCAAATTCATGAGTCGATCTAAAAAAAGACCATTATTGAAAACTTAGAAGTATTATCAATCGATCCATGATCTTGCATAACCCTTCATCATTTTCCGAGGTGGATAACTGTCTCCATCTGACACGGATTGAACTCACAATCGATCCATGATCTTGCGCAACATTTTTGTTAACTGATGCTTCTTATCATTACTACATTTTTCTTACTGTGCTGACATTAAGTGTAGCAATTTGAATCAATACAAATTTATGCTGAGTTTTCTACTTTGTCTATGACTGACTGAAATATTAACGAACAATATTCAATAAAGGTGTACGTTTTCAATGGTATATGTGACACAAAAGATTTCATTTTAATTGAGTGATCACTGAGTAGTGATGAATATTATGTCTGTTCAGACCTTAGCAATGATTGAGTTCTATTTGATGTAATCACTAATGACTTGAAATTAAGTACAATCGGTTTATTTGTTAGCCGACTCTACACTTGTGTTTCTTGTTAGTTGATATACTTGACAACAAGATACAGTTGAAATTTTGAGGGAAACTGGTGCTCTTTTATGAGATTCAATATTTCTTGAAATTCTAGGCATCCTTTATTGATGAGTGACAACCAGTAAAAAGCCTAGACTAAGCAGAATCGTCTGCCGATTGACTACTGCCAACCAGCTAACGTAAAAAACCATTTCATTTCCACATTGACTGCTTTATTGAATCAAGTTGAAATGATACCACATCTCTAAAAAAACATTACGACATTAGCTTACACATTTGAACTGTGCACATTTTTCACTTTGGTTTGAGTAAATATACAGTTGTAGTATCTTTATTTCTAAATAATTAAAATACGGTTTGAAGATTAGTATGTAGTGAACGAAGACTTGGTAGGAATAACCAATATATTGTTTAATACAAAATTAAACAGCGTCTTAGTAAAATATGAAAATCATACATTCAATATATTATTTGTACAGCTTCTTTGCGTTGTCCTTTACCTAATACCCCATTATTCGTCTAATTCTATTATTATTTTGATTCCTCTCCGATTTCCTTTCTGTTATTTCTCTTTTGTTGTTAGGCATTCCACTTCCGATTGCGACTACATACTAGTTATATCCGACAGTATAGGCAGCACACATAACAAGTACATTGACCCACAATTGGTTACTACACCCAAAACGATACCCTATTATTTTAAATAGAATAGTTGAAATTCAAGTCAGTCAATAACTTGACAGTCATCTATCTTATGAAAGTCTTTCTAATTATACAAATAAAAGGTCGATACCAGTACAGTCAGAGCATATACAGACATACGTACATATACTGTGGTGTGTGCTGCTGATGTCGACAGATATAAGTAGTAGGCATCACCAATCGAGAGTGGAATTTCTGGCGGCAAAAGATTAAGAAAATCGAAGAGAACGAGAACAGAGAGTGATTGTTATAGAAACGAAGGAACAACAAAATCGGAGACAATTTATGGATATTTTACGAATGAAGTATTTACTGTATGGTTCTCAGATTTTACCAAGAGATTCTGTAATGTTATATTAAAATACATTTGGTTGTCCTCACCTGTGTTCTCGTTCAATATAATACGACTAATTAATGTTGTTAGGGGAGTAATAAAATGGATAGGATGAATTAAATACACCGACTTACTTTTTGACATAATAAATTGTATACAGTTTGACGTAATGGGAAAATAATCAGCGGTATAGAGACAATGTTGGTTAGTAGAAATCCAACACGTATACAGAAACTACGTAAATCATCTGGATACATTAGAAAGACGTTACCGGAAAATATTGTCCTTTTCGAACTAATAAATGCTACGTAGCCAAAGAAACCAAACTATACAACAAGACAGAAACAATAATAATAATAATAATAATAATAATAATAATAATAATAATAATAATAATAATGAATTAAAACTTATGATAAACACTAAATATGAAGTTCTTGTGGTTTGTATCACAAATTAGTCGGAATTAAACAGTTGTTTAAGACTGGGAAACATTAGATAGTTGTTTTATTCCGGGACTCGTCAACATAGCGCTCCACAACCATATCGAATCCAGGACTTTCAGATTTTGCAATGAACACAGCCTTTAGACCAGTAAGTTAATATTCAATGGTTTACATTTTTTAGCTTTCGTCAATATTCTTGATGTTACACGACTATTGTCGACTGTGATTGGTGATAATTGTCTCACATTCAAGACGGCTGGATTCCACTGATTACATTCTCCCAGTATGAATCTGGGAGTTAACTCTCGAAAATGGTTCCCTGGTGAGCACATGAGGGCAGAACAAGAGCTAATAGAATGGATCTCTGTTAACATTCGCCTATGAGCTGTTCGGCTAAACGACTCCGTAAGAGCTCGGAAGGATAGGGACAAACGTCGTTGCCTCTTTATCATTTCTGCCTACGCTCCCACTGACCGCAGCTCGAATGAAGTGAAGGATGAATTTTACAGAAAGCTATCTGAACTTCTTCAGAAAGCTAAACGTTCAGACATAGTACTCGTAGCAGATGACTTTAATGCCCAGATAGGTAGTTTAAACTAAACAAAAAGACATTTAGGTGGGTATTTTAGTATTCCGACACAACGAACAGATAATGGTGATCGTCTGCTGCAACTGTGCTCAAACAATCGTTTATTTTTAGCAAACACAAATTTTAAGCATAAGGAGAGACATCGTCTAACATGGCGACCCCCTGCACCAAACCAACTTGGACCGATGCATATATGTGCCTGGTCCTACGTTGTAGCTGACTGATGGACTGAGAAGATTTGTTGATATTTTTTTAAGTTTTGGCAGTTCGTGTAAAAACACAGTAGTCTAGAGGTTTACCGCTCAGCATAAGACATAAAGGTACAGAAAAGAACAGAATGATATCAACTGAGTAGCCACTGGAAATCAAAGGGCACTGAACAACTGTTGCTTCGTCCTAGTATGAAACCCGTCGCCAATTGATGCACGTCCACACAATCGTTCCAAGTATTGTGATCCCATGAGCTTCAGATCTCGCAATGAGCATGACACAACTATTGAGCCATTTGAATAATGATCTACTTTCTTTCGTTCATGACAAAACACGATCATTTATCGATATTAACTGATTGTATTTGTCTCTCACTACCAATACGACTGAGGTTTAACCAGTCATTCATGTTCTGTTATTTGAAATCAATAATGTATATGAATCGATTCTGCGACTGAGTAGTATCTAAGTTACTATAAGACCTAAAAGTCCTGGGATTCAATTCCTCCAAGATTTTCAACCATTCACCAACTGATATCTGTCAGTGGATGTAAAGCCAACTTTATGATGAACAATCGTAACAAAATATGATATGACCAATCAAAATCTTATTTAATTAACTATAGTAAATTGACATTGATTCAATTTCATCACAATGGGACTCGAACTAGTGACTATGACCAAGCCATTACTTTTCATAAACAATCCAACCGTTAAATGCATACAACAAGCTGACAAATATGGCATCATCAAATATTCTACACGCCTCTTCAAAGACATATTTCCTCTTAGTTTCAATTTCTACCTCAGTACAATGGAAGTTGGTCGCGCAATTTCGTGGATTGGTTGATGTTAGGCACTAACACCATTGGATGCCGGCTCAGTGGTCTAATGGTTAAGTGCTCAGGCGCAAAGCCAGTAGGTCCCGGGTTCGGATCCTGCGGGGTGCGGGATCGTGGATGCGCACTGCTGAGAAGTCCCATACTAGGACGAAACGGCCGTCCAGTGCTTCCAGGTTTCCAACGGTGGTCTAACATCAATTGATTCATGATCTCAACCAAAAAAAAATCTGTATGAATTGTTTTCTCATGTGGAGAAAACACCGACTGTTGTACAAATCTGTCAAGATACAAATTATTATAAAATATTACAAAGTATACAAATAAATTGATCAGAATGATTTTTAAATTGTATTCATGAGTTGATCTAAGCTAGACCTCTATTCAAAACCTGGAAACACTGGACGAACGTTTCGTCCTAGTATGTGACTCATCAGCAGAGTGCATCCACGATTCCAGAACCTTCAGTCTCCTGCGCGGAATCATGAATGCACACTGCTAAGGAGTCTCATACTAGAACGAAAAACGGCCGACCAGTGCTTCTAGGTTTTGAATAGAGGTCTAGCTTAGATCAAGTCGTGAACTCAACAAACAAACGAACAACAACTTACAAATCCATAAACTATAGCTACTGTAATCAATGCAACACGAACTATCAATCGCATATTTGATAATGTTGGCTGAAAAGATTTAGATGATGTGATATGTAATTGTCTAAAAAAAGAAGAGAATATGATAATAAAATTAGTTTGATTAATAATAAAAAGTACATGAAGATTGTTGAAATCTTTCTTTTTGTTGTTGGTTTACACAGTTAAACCATTATTAAACGTTTTTTGAGAAATTTCATACACATAGTTCCCTTTATCATTTTGCTCTTTTCATTATTAAACGCTAGGCAGTCGTATTGGATGGCAGCTGTTTTGTTCTAGAAATGGGACTACTACAGAGAAGAAGTGAACATGTACAAGTTGACTGAGGATTGAACCAAGAAACTTTGAGTCTTGAGATGAATGTTCAATTTTCAGACTATTGATTGAGTCTTTTATTAGCTGACATTTCCCAAGTTTAATCAATCCACGATATTACGTGACTACTAATCTAAATCCAAATGAAATGGATAACTACTGCCTGATACTTAATATGGTTGAACTGCGTTGGTTATGACTTCCCTACAAAACGTCAAGAGATTTGAGGCTCATGTTTCAGTTGTTCAATGCTTCATGGTTTCCAATGATTGTTTAAATGAAGTCAGTCTGTAATCTAAACTGTACAGTGGTGACGATTACAATAACAATTTTAAGGAATCTTAAAATGAGAAATAACACAATACAGACGATGTTGTAATAAATGTTGAAACTGAGTAGATGAAATGCATTTAATGAAAGTAAATAAAATATGTAATAGTGATCAATTATTGATCCGGTTTGAACGTCGGATATTCGATTTTCGTTCTCTGTTTTGTAAACAACACCCTTGTCACGAAAAAGGCAGTGAGCAGGACTTCTCTGGTAGTGGGAGTATATGCATGGCCATAAGAGAGCATTTTCGTGAGAGAGCGCACCCGCCTCTACTCGCATCAGGACACTGATGAATGAACAAAACATTTTTGATTGTAGTGAATTCATTTGAATCTATGACTGTGAATAAGTGGAGGAACTATCTAAGATTTTAGTTAGTAGATATCTAGCATATCACGCGAACCAGGTTTACATCTTGCTTTAAGATGAAACAAAGTGATTGAACTTGTGATATTTAACATTTAATTATGACTGTACTGTAAGTCATGTTATGCATTCTGGTAGACTGTGGTCTGAAATACAATAAAGGGTGTGTCGCACTTTGTGAAGCTTTGGAAGAGATGGAGCCTTTTACGTATATAAGTCGTATCATTGATGTACAAGGGAATCTGATGCAGATGTGAAGGCACATATTAGCAAAGCGAAGGCAGCATTCCTCAAATTGAAGAACATCTGGAGCTCAAAACAAATACTAGACAACACCAAAGTCACAATTCACAATATCAAATTCATTTCAATCCTGTTGTACGGAGCTAGATCTTCGAGAACTACTACAACCATCACCAAAAAGGTACAAATATTTATAAAAACGTTTCTACGCAAGATACTCAATGTCCGTTGGTCAGATACCATCAGCAACAACCCAATAGAGCAGAGAGTACAACCAGCTGCCTATTGAGGAGGAAATCAGAAAGAGACACCGGAGGTGGTTTAAACAAACACTGAAACTATCAAGCCGCTTAAGGCAAATCCTAACCTGGAATTCTCAAGACGAAAAGAAAAGAAACGGACCATAGAACACACAGCTCCAAGACTCGGAGGTAAAAATCAAAACCATGAATAGAACTTGGCAACAAGAGCAAAGAAGAGTCCGGGACAGAGCTAGTTAGCGGCCTATGACTCAAGAGGGGTAACAGGTAGAAGTAAGTTCACTACAAACTGAAGAAGCATTAAAAAAACACATTCGTCAGGAATTTCGGCGTTATTCAAGAACATAACTGAGTATATAAGATGACTAAAGTTGTAGTTTGCAACTTAACACAGGTTATAACCTACTTTTATTTAGGAAATCTATCGATACAATATCTCTAGACGATTGTCTATTTATACATTATCAACAAAATAGATTTACTGAATAATCTGACTATGCATAATTTGAAATTAAAGAAAAAACTTGTACAAGTAGGCGTTAAACGAAACAATTCTCATACTAAACGGACCTTATTTCTACTTCAGTTAGTTAAAGCAACGTGGAATACGGACACATTTGCTTATGTTTTTTTATATTTGCTAAGTATCCAGTGTGTGTGTGTGTACAGCGCGACAGTTAAATAGAGACAGAAACTATTTGCTGTTTACTAGTTGGTTCACTTTTTTAGGTGAAACAGGTGACAGGAAATTATAACTGTTAACATAATACAAAATTCTTAAACGACATTAAAAACTGAAGCAACAGAAATGGACAAACTGAATTTATTCAGTTGGCTTATAGGTATAGACTGGTATACTTGACCGCAAGTTATACTTTAATTATGATGTCTAGTAGTGATACTATCCAATTGTTCCAATCGAAGTGGGACAGAGTTCAAACATGGAACTTAGTGACTACAAACCCAGAACGTTACCACAGAACCACCGCTCCACATATGAACCGCTAGAGGCCGGCTCAATCCTCTAGAGTTTAAACCTTCATCAAAAGATCCGATACTCTAGGTCCGACCGCTGGCGAGCTCGTGGATAGACACTGTCGAGTTGTCTAGTGCTTCCTGCTCTTCAGTGGGTACTTAAGATCAGTTTGTGATGTAAATTGTGAAAGCACAATAACGCTAAATTAGCAATTCTTAGTGGCAATAAACGACTGTTGCGCACAGAACGTATGAGCTGTGACACCCACAAACATAGTGAATAGTATACATTAGAACAGATGAAATCCAAGTCATTATCAAAGTAAATTAGTGAATAGTACTTTGTCGGTCAAATTAGTGAACGCAGCATTAGAGTTTTTCTTCTGTTATTGTAGTAATGATCAATTTTACTGGAGATAGAAATGAAATCTGCAAAAAACAACTCACGTTTGACAGAACATTGAAGCTAAAAATATAGGAATACATTCAATCAGACCAGCTGGTTTCCACCAATTCATATCTTCCCAAGGCATATTGGAAATTAATCGAGGTAGACCAAGTATAAAAATCATCTGAACAGAAAATAAATTTTTTGTTTTCATGAAAATTAATAATTTTTGAAGGTTGGTTACAAAATCAAAGTCCATTGGGTGTAAATTCTTAAATGATACAAAATATAAAACCGACTTAATGGTGGTTAAATTGACCGTAGTTGCTACACGCTGATGTGGCAGTCAAGTTTGGACATCATGAGGATTTAATTGAGTTATATTGAGTGAAATAATCGTCCATGAAGGTCCTATATGATCATAGCTAGGTTGGTTGGAGGGCAGTCAAATCTAAATGCAATAGATTTAAAGTTCGAAGGTTGAGTTGAAATACCGACCGCACAAAGATGTGACGATAGTAAGGTGTTTCTCTCAGACAATTACCATCTACAGTGGTGTCACATTCTCATAACAGAAGGTGGCAAAAATGTCGGCCCAAAAAATAGTGCACCTCACTTTATCTCATGGACTTCTGTTGTCGATACTAAAGTACGGAGCTGAAACATCAAAAAATCATAAACAAACACGCTGTGTAACCTACCTCATGCAGCTGTTCCTTGGGCTCTGTAGTCAAGTTTCCATATCGTCAAGACCATCACCTATAACCCAGTTTCCTTTACAGGTTATCACTCAGGAAGTATCTTTCCACAGGGAAGTGGCAACTGTTCACAAACCAATAGTAACACTCGAGATCACTATGACTGAATAGTAGTTAAACGTAAAGATCGGCTAGATATATCGGTTTTACTTGTATTTCAAACATTTTTCATACTGTTCTAAAAGGCGAATAACTCACATGGTACTACTACAGCGACAGTATTTTTACTAGGTTAATTGGATAATAACTAAGTGACGTTATTGTAAGGACTGATCCAAGAACGCACTTACATTGATTAGTGGAGAATAATTAAATCTATATAGTGTAGTCCATAAATCACTTTTAGTAAACGATAGTGTTAATTACTGATAGTGATTCATAGATTATAGAGCCAATGGTCTAATATCTGAAGATTAATAGTGAATGACGTGAGGATTTGTATATTTTAAGTGACCGAAAACGCTTTCAAAATAAAAATCGTATAAACGAAGTCTTGTTGTAGTCAAAATTTGAAATGAAAGATTATAGCTTAGTTTAAATCAGTTGAGAGTTATAAGTTCAACATGCCATGCTTCGAACAAGTTGTTTAGCGGTTAAATAACTTGCTTTTCAAGTCTCTAGGTTAAAAGTTCTAATCCTCATATACTTCTTCATTTACGTTGGTTTAGCCAAATGAACAGTATGAAGAGCTTTCACTAAAAGTACCGTCTAGAGTTGAGTACATAGTTTTACTTGATAAGTAAACTGTAAGCAGTCATAATTATTCTGAATAATTTTAATCAATCTGATATACTGAGTCAATCCGATATAAGGCAAATGATCAGTGAGAAATGATTTAGATTCAATTTCTGAGGAAGTAGACACATGCTATAGGTTAAAAGTGCAACTTAATTTTCTGTGGAATATGTATCTATATTCATAAATGAGTTATGGATATATAGTCTATTTGGTTGAAACAATAAAAGCTTCTTGTTCAATCATGGTTTGCTTACTCAGGTATCTGGTTGGGTTAGCCTATAGAAAGCTTGTACATCACTAATCGACTTGTACGATCGTAGAAAATAACACAATCTTAATAATCTCTTTGCATTCATTGAATGGAATATTATATTAAAAGGCTTATGCAAGACTAGTCTTGACAATACTTTCATTGTACAAATGAAGCAAAATATATTACACAGTTATATATTACAAAAACTGTAAGCACTAATAGTCCAAGAAATATTGCTAGGATCCGCTAGGACCACTGGGTATGTAATAGAGAGGTTAGGCTCGGGGTATTAGGGAGCGCAAAATGCTCACTAGTGTTGGAAACTGATGGAAGAAAGTCAGGGCGGCCAAACCAAAACGTGGCATCAATTCATAAAGTCACTAACTTCTGGTCTGAGCCATGTTGGTAGATGCAAAATATTTGGTAAGCGTCCGTGTGACTATCGTAACCAATAGTTGGAGACTTTGGGTGACACGGCTCAGAATCAATCACAATGACATGGGTGTGTACACTCTTTGTTTTCGCTCAAACTGTGAGATTAAAATTACTTTATACATTACTTTCTACGAACTAATTCTTTCTGTACCATTAAAGTAACTACTTCTATGATTTTGATGTACATCTTGTTGTGCTAATGAGGTATGGCAAATTGGACCGATCCATACATACATGTACCCGGTCCTATGTTGTAGATAACTCAGTGACTGACTGTAAGCACTAATTTATCAACCTAATTCCTTCAAGTTAATCTTGGCATATATGAAAAAATCAGGTGAATAGTTTTATTCATTTTTTGTATAGAACTTACATGAAAAGTAACTACACCATAAAATAGACTTGTAAATACATTCAATCGAAGTAAACTTTGAACTTTTGAAACTAAACAAAGCGGTATTAAAGTAACTGTAAACGTCACTAGTAGAATAAACCGAAGCTGATGAGTTGGCTAAATAATATAGAAGAGGAGAAATCAAAGAGAAAAAAAATCATCCTAATGTAAAAATGTTTTAAAAGGTTAATGAATATTTATTTGTTTTCAAATTAAGATCATGAATCGATCAATGTTAGACCAATATTGATATCCTAGAAGTAGTGGATGGATGTTCCATCCTAGTATGAGACTCCTCAATAAAAAAACTTAAAAATCTTTACAATCCCATACTGATAATTATCATGTGCTCACTAGGGACTAGCTTTAAGAGGTCGTTCTCGAAGTTCTAGTGAGAAGCCGTGACCAGTGGAACTAACCTATGTTGAGTGTGAGGTGGTTATTCACCGATGACAATGGAAGATGGTCGCCAAATATCATGGATTGGTTGAAGTTAGACATTAACACTATTGGATGCCAGCTCAGTGGTCTAGCGGTTAGGCATTCCCGCGTAAGACTGAAGGTCATAGATTCGCATCCTTTGTGAGGGATCGTGGATGCGCACTTTTGAAGAGTCTCATACTAAGACAAAATGGCCACCTAATGCTTCCAGGTTTTCAATAGTGGTTTAATTGATCAATTCATGATCTCAATTAAAACTCAACGATCTTCACAACCCTATACTGATAACAAATGTTTAGACATACAGAAATAATCAACATGTTGAATGATTTAAACTATCATATATTCAATTTTCAATTATTTTGTTTATGAATCCGAGCTTTGTATCTACTACTCTAGTATGTATAGTGAAAGTACTTCTATTCTTAGTAAGAAAAAAAAGAATAATAGACACGATGAAAAGTTTAGTAAACATGAGTTAGTTATATTTAATTCATGAATTGCATTGTTAATGAGATAGGTTTGTAATATATGAGACAGGATAATAATTAGATCTTATAGTTAGTCATTAATTCTATTGGAAGATTCATTGATTAATTACCTATCATTGTTATAACTATCAATTATTTATTTATTACATAACTTCAAATTATATTTATGCTCATATTCAAAATTTTGTATATAAACGAGCTATTCTAATAGAAAAGTTTATTCTACTGGAAAGATTTCTCATTATTTGATACCAGTTCAATTATCGAATTACATCAATTATTCAGCCTTGTGTGAGCAATTCCAAATCAGCCACCATAAATTACTGAGTAACTTGGCATATATCTAGGATGAAAGGCGAATGCCCGGTGCGGAAACCGGGTTGATGGACATGGAGTCCACCTAGGCGAGTTGAAAAACCCTGATTCCAAACCAATGGTGTACATGGGCTCCAGTATCCTGAAGGAACCAATGACGTATGAACCAATTATTGGTCACCCGCTACCATGGGACTGCATCTCATGACGTTGCTCTACCACCTTGCAAATTAAACCCTTAAGTCAAAGGTTCCGGATGTGGCCTCCTAATAAAACCACCTGCTTCGGTTTGGGAACCCGGAGAGTATTCCAGCCCTCACACAAATCGAATGATTTATGTGGCACATATCTATTTGGTGCCTCCTTGTACTAATGTTTATGTGTTTAAATAAATAATTAATATTGGCATATATAGTGGATCATCAAAAGCATGAATTGATCATAATCAGAGAAGCATTAGATATTTTGAAGCACTGAACGGCCTTTTTGTCCTATCTAGTATAGGACTTCTCAATAATGAGAATGAACGACTACGAAACAGAAAATCGGACTAAGGACCTTTGGCCTTGAGCGTGAATTATTTACTTATCTGAACGCAAACACTGGTACAAGGGGACACCAAATACATATGCGACACACAATAACAATGAGGTTGTGAATAGATAGAGAATGTAAAGTGCGTATAATAAAAACAACAACGAACAAAAATTAGTGTATGAGAGTGAAATAATGATGATAATAATAATAATAACAGTCCAGTTAGCAAAAATACAACCATAAAGAATTCTTTCAGTTAAAGAAGTTATGGCAGGATCGTCACTGGCTTCTATTCTCAGTCATATTTGACAACGTCTCTAGCCATTGTTGCACCATCTCTAGGACCCCAGCCAGGAGGAGGACCCACGTAAGGGAGTTGGAAAATCCTGATTCCACATCAATGGTGCACATAGGCCCCACGATCCTGAAAGAACAAATGGCATGTAGATCTATTTTTGGTGATCGACTACCATGGGACCGTATCTCTTAACGTTGCTCCACTGTCTTTGTGGATTAGACTTCTATGTGAAGTGTTGGCTGAGTGGCCCGCTCTAAGAAAACCACCCTAATTCGGTTTGTACATCAGAACAGTATCCTATCCCACACATAAATTGAACGATTTGTGTGGGTCATATACATTTTAGTGCTCCTTTGTACCAATGTTTATGTGTCTAAATAAATAAGTATTGTATCAGAAGGAGATTAAATTGTAACTTCTGCGAGCTATTTATGGACTGTTATTATACATATATTCTTATTGTATAACTGTTAAGTAACTAAACTATATACATTTATATCCTTTCTATCATAAGCTTCTGCCTGACCTACTGACTACTGTCATACGATTTACCATTAAGTTATTCCCAATTTATTAGTTACAGCCACTTTTGGCCTGATCTAGTGTGATTTTTATTTTCTATTTTATGGTATGGTGCGGTCTCATTTGCTTATATATAAACCAAGTATGTCTGAAATACATGATCCATACAGTAGAAGCTGTGTTCTGGACTCAAACAGGAAGGACTAATCAGGACTCAGAGTTGGCATTAGGTTGTTCGTGCTGGTTAACGCGTCATTGGTCTGGTTATATAATTCGGTGTTCTAATTGGTAGACTTAATCATGTGATATAATCGACAGGGTATAGAACACAACACCAAAGCAATATCACTACCCCCCCAAACCATATGGCTCGGAGTTGTGTATATGAGTATGGTAAATAAATTACATCAAATTAATTCAGAATGTAAAACTTACTATAGTTACAGCGATTTGTGAAACAACACCAGTGCTCAGGTCTGCAATAGTAACATAATATCCTACAACGTAACCAAACAACAGACAAATAACACTAAAAAGTCCCCCATATAATACAATGCTTACCTTAATTCAGCTAAACTTTTTCCCATATGTCCTAATGCTTTAAAGCCTATAGAGTTCAAGTTTACATAGAATATTTAAAATTACAAGCATGTTCAAATGGAAGGACTCGGTGAGTAGAACAGATATCAATTAAAGCATCGCATGACATTATTGAAAATGCAGCAGTAATTCCAAGAAACAAAAATGATAATAAAATACCACACTGAAGTTTATAACATAAATGAATAACAAAATAAATACCTGATGAAAACAAAATGGCATAGCTAAAGCAGCTACTCCTACAGTATTATTAATTAATGTAATAATAGGTCTTATCAATATGAATATCTCATCATGAGGATATAAATACTGATTTATCGAACGGATTAATTTTGCCGGCATTTTGAACCAAAAAAAGCCTATAGAAGAATGTTGATATATAAAGTTGTCGTATTCACTTTAAATGGATAACGCTCTGAGTTGTTAACCCAAAATCAATTTTTAGACCTCATATAGTATAAATAACAAATTGAAGGTTTCTTGTGCTGTGTTATTTATAGTATTGGAGGTTGAGATAGTTGAATGAAGATTTTGTTCCTGTCTGAATTTATCACAATCCTAAAAAAAAATAAGAAATGACGGTTAATACATAACATTAACTGTGGTGTGTCAAAAAAAATACCTGGAATACAACGTGCTACACCCTAAATGATATGGGAGTATGAATGAGTCTTCTAAGCTATTTTTTGCTGACGACAAAAAATATAGCGAGAATTATATGGTGAACGTGTCATTCAAGTTAATCTGAACAGTATCTGATTGACCAAAAACATGGGTGATCAATGGATCTAATTGGCTTCGCATTAATCAAATACAATAGTTGGAGTGGTAATAAAAATGGCGAAACATATTAAAGATTTTCACTCATAACAGTTAATATAATGTACCACCAGGAGCTAACAACCATAGTTTAAGACTGATACCAAGATATTAATTATTGTATAGATGTAGTTTAGGAAAATTAACTGTGTTAATACTATACCCTAAAGCAAACAATGGGAAATATTGACAAAATTGAGGGAAATATGAGCGACATTGCACCAAAATGTCGCCTCTTTCGCCCGTATATGGAAATAGTTGACCATTTCATCTATGTCTCGAAATTCACACCTGTAGGATGACTCAAAATGTCATTCAGAGTTTTATTCTGAGTCTTAGATGAAGCAGATCAAAGGAAAATACACTACAAATACTCTGTAGCAAACAAGTTATTCAGTTACGCAGAACAGATCCCCTTCCTTATTAGGTTGCAAGTAAGTCGATCTATTGTTACGACTGAAATTGTGGTTACTTACGAGTTTGGAGAACGGATTATTACTTGCCGGGATACTAGGTTTACACCAATGAAGCCCGATAATGAAGCAATTGTCCAAGGTAAACCCAAACTAACTACAGATATGTGTTAACGGATTAGCAAAGTTTGCACTCCATGCTAACACCCTAAACCTTTTCACAGAAACCTTTCCATCGGATGACATAGGTATATTTATGTGCTCAGTAGTTAGTCACGAGCACATATGGGTTTTCGTTGGTGAGACAGTATGCAAGTGCATATTGGTGACCAATGTAAAGTGAAATCATAGTTCCGTTATTGCGACATACCTTTTCGTGAAGTTTATTGAGTTTTTCGATATATTTGGGCTTTGAAATTCGAAAAATAGTTTCCTATCTTTGCAGTAATCAATGCTTCGATTAAGAAGCAGATGCTTCTTGTAGCAAGTATTTTTAATAACAAATGCGATTTACTGCATGAATCCTAACAATATCTTCGACATTCATACAATGAACTAAATCGATATGAATGGAAACTGATTTGTTATCATATGTGTGATCTTGTACACAGAGAAACTAATTCCCTTCAGATAATTTTATGCAATTAAAGATTCAGTTGCTTCATTTAGTAAACTAGTTGGATATGATATCACTAATCTGCAAGATAAAAAGACGTCACCGCAGACCAGGGAACCTAGTATATAAGTATGGTAATCCTATAAATTATTAACAATGAGGAACACAAAACGAAATCCAATTATATCAATGATTCAGTTGATTTGGATGTAGCCAAGATCCGAGTTGAAAGTAATAAGGTTGTCTATCCAACGCTTGAACTGATGGAAACACCTATACTGTTGGTAGCTAAGTAAGCCTATTATTCCTATAAATTTGTATGAAAAAGTTCAACGAAGATAGACTTTAAGCTACCAGCTTCTGCAACAACGCCCAGTGGCAGTGAATTAGTTGAGTAAGTTATGTATGCGGTTGTCTTCACTCATATACTATCGAAAATGAATATAACTTTACAAAACCTTGAAGCAGCGGTCTCTAATCTGAACGCTGATATTAGGCAGATGATGTGCATTTCAAATAATGTATCCCTAAATAGTTTCTCAAGTAACATCAGCGGACAATCACAGTTTCATTTCCCTCTGTCAAACAACAAGGAATTAGACACCTTAGAAATATATCTTCAACAAGAAGATATGAAGGACAGATTTGTAAGATCACGGATTTTTCATAATCCATTTACATATTAGATGGCCAAGGAGACCAAGTTTATGAACGACAACTCAAAGACGTTAAGGAGATATTTTTGCCCCACATTATGGGACCCGAGTCGTCCATCAATTTCACTTTACCTGTACTTTCATATAAATGGAGGCTCAGCAATTTAGATTCTACCAAGGTATGAGATAGGAATAGGTTTTTGTAATATTTGTTTGGCAGGCGCATTAACATTGAAGTTTAAATCAGTCAGTGTACACAAAAGACACCTTGCTAAAATTTGAGTCGCTACGCAAGATTTCTTTTAAGATATGCATCACAGATAGACTAAAGCGTTATCAAGAAAGGAAAGATAATGTGAGTAATAATTTACGCTGATGATCTTCCTCTTTTTGTTTTCTAGACTCAGCGGTTAATTTTATCGAAAATTACTGTATCACTTCATGTTGTAACATAATCGTAATAAAAACTTTACGCAAAACCCACTCTAATCGTTAACCGTTATTTAATTTTAGAATCCAATTGACGAAAATGTGGGATCTCGATCACAACAGAGATGTTTGACTTAAACGTGAATGTTTCGATCGATAAGACTATAGTTTATGGAGGGACCAATGAAATTAAAGAGGGAAAGTCTTGGATTCCAACGCGAAGTTTATTCACCCATATGTCAGTCAATCACAGAGTAGAATCTGGTAGCCTCGTACATCGGTTCAAGTTGCCATACCCCGTTAGCAAAGAGAGATGAAATTGCCAGACCTAATCGCAGAATAGTAAAGGTAGTAACAGTGTCAGTGGTAATAAGAAAGATTAGGCACCCAAGATATTATTTGAGAGACAGATATAAATTGGTGAGATAATTTTTTCTGGTTAGCGATTTTTTAGCGAGTTAGTTTTCTACGGGTGAGATGAAACACGGAAAATGTTATTAGGGGACTGAGAAACTCAGAATTTGAATGAGTATAAAGAATGGATGCACCTGCACCATTGCAAGCGATTTTGAGTGTTTTCGCTCAGAGTCTAACCATTGGTTACGACAATCACACGGTCCCCAACCAAGTAATTTACTCCTATTGATATAACTCAGTGCAGTTGCCAGTGACTTTATGGACTGATGGTATTTTTTCAATTAGCCAGCCTTAGCTTTCTCCCACTCGACTCCTACACCAGACAACATAGTCCATAAGGTAGGCTAAGGTCATGCATATGTTACATATGTCACAACCACCTCAGTTGAATAAGTTTCAGTTTCACTTTGGAAGGACAGGAGGCCTGATGGCCTGTGTTAGTACTTGTAATGGTGGTCGCTCAGTTGATCCAATTTTCTTTTCAAAAAGTCGATGGATGGAGCCTCAATCACGTGTTGAGGTAATGAATTCCACTCGTTGATGATTCGATGGGAAAGTCAACAGTCAGCTGACAAGTAATTTGTTCTGGCTTGTAAACTTTTTTGGAGTGTCCTCGTAAATTCTGTTTTGGAAGACAAGAAAAATGAGGGCATATCAGGTGCAAATTTGGCACTAAGCAATTTGAAAACTGTAATCAAGTCGCCTCTAGTTCTACGATATGACAACGGGAAAAGGTTTAGCTTGGCCAGTCGAGCATCATACGGAAGCTTCGCTATTCCGGGAATCAGCTTAGTTGCCGTTCTCTGAACCTTTTCCAGAAGCTCACTGTCTTTTTTTAAGCAGGGGCTAGCCGCTTGTATGCAGTACTCAAGTTTAGGACGTACGAACACTGTATACAAAGTCAAAAACGTTTTGGCTTCGACATGACTAAAAGCCCTACGTATTGACCATAAGGTTCTAAAACCTTTGGCGGCTATTGCACGGCAGTGTGCAGTAGTCTTTAAGTCTTGGCTAACGATGACTCCTAAGTCATTATGTGTCTGGACGACAGGTAGCTCAGTGTTATTCATCGTGTATGTATCTGTACCTTGATGACCGATATGCATCACAACACACTTGGAAGTATTTATCGGCAACTGCCAGTTTGAGACCATTCAGATAATTCTTCAGGTCATTTTGGAGTTCTAAGCTATCACCCTTACATCGTATCGTTCTCCATATCTTGACATCGTCAGCATATAGCAAGACCGATGATGATAGGAGATGAGGAAGGTCATTTACATACAAGAGGAATAGCACTGGCTTCAAAACTGTACCCTGGGGCACTCCACTAAGCACAGTTTCCCAGCTAGATAACTTTGAGTTCACCCGTACTCTTTGTTGGCGCCCAACTAGGAAGTCTTTTATCCACATCAATAGATTGCCTCCAATCCCGACATTTCTTAACTTATATAACAGCCGGTTGTGCGGAACTTTGTCAAAAGCTTTGCTGAAATCAATGAAGGCTACGTCTACAGGTAACTTTTGGTCCTTAAGAGCGCACCAGCTTTCACGAGCCACTAATAAGTTAGTGAGACAAGAATAACCTATTCTGAAACCGTGCTGCTTCTCCGAAAGGATCCGGTTTTTATCGAGATACTTAAACAGCTCCTTCCGAATAATCTTTTCTAAGATTTTAACAACCACACTAGTTAGGCTAACGGGTCGGTAATTCTCAGGTTTATGTTTCGTACCTGTTTTGAAGACAGGACTTACTATGGCGTTCTTCCAGTCTTTGGTAAACGATCCTGCGTTACGGATAGATTAAAGCGTATACTTAAAGGGTTTGCAACGAAGTTAGATAATTCCTTCAGTAGCCTAGGATGCAATTCATCGGGCCCCGTGGATTTACCTATGTCAAGCTTATTTAGCAGACCAAAGACATCGAGTTCTTTAATGGTCACGCTATCCAGTGTATGTGTGGGGGATTTGTATGCGCTGACGGGAAGGGTGCTTCTATGGTATAACATTGCTAAAGTAGTTCGAGAACACTTGAGCCTTACCAAAGTCGTCCTCCACTAATGATGCGGCAGTACTGTCTCCCCATAGTGCAGGAATATTTCCTCTTCTTTTTGTCCTTTGGTTTATATAGGAATACAAGCGTTTAGGACATTCTATGGATTCCTTAACAATTTTTTCTTCGTACAACTTTCTAGACTTACGGAGGGTCGAGGCACAGGTATTCCGAGCTTTTCGATACTGAGATTTTGTCTCATCAGTCCCCAGTAACCTAAATCTATCCCACATTTTTCTTCTCTTACGGAGAAGGATGCGGACCTCCCTACTGAACCATGGTGGAGTTTCTCGGCCCCTTGGTATAGTCCAAGGGATGTGGGGTGCGGTAACTTTTAAGTATAAATTTCGAAATGCGTCCCAAGCCGTTTCAATTGAGGACTCTGGGTCTATTGTCCAATCTACTAACGATGCTGAGTGCATGATATCTGGTATGTTTGCTTTCCAGACGTTAGGTCTGGATTGAGCTAACGCGTGCTCGTGATTGACAGTTATATGGAAGTCGAAAGTTAAAACTGCGTGATCACTTTTACCTAGGGGTGGCATGTGATGGAGGTTCGCAACGTCATCCTCATAGTGAGTCAATATAAGATCTAGTAAGGATGATTCAGTGTCCGGGTCGTACCTAGTCGCTTCTTTCACATGTTGCACTAGGGCACATGTGATAACCGCATCAACTAGTTCCTGCTCGAAGGAATTTTCTGACGATTCAGTTCGCAGATTTTCCCGGTCTACCATAGGTGCATTAAAGTCCCCTAGGATTAGACACCGACCACTTTGTGACCAAGTATTGAGACTGCTTAGCAGGATATCATTTACCTCACAGCTTGGACTGCGATAGACCAAACCAATCAGCAGCTCTTGTCCCTTGAATTTCAAGCGGCAACTAACTAATCCACACGTCCCACTCTCATGGGATACACTGTCGATAATGGCAAATGGGATAGCATTCCTAATGAATAGAGCTACTCCCCCTCCTTTACGCTTTTGTATTCTGTCGGCCCTTACTAACGTAAAACCCTCGAAATCAAGTTCCATACTATCTATAAACTGTGTCAGCCAGGTTTCTGTAACTGCGATTATGTCTAGCTTTGTAGAGTCAATCTGTACACCTGGTTCCAATCGCTTATTAAGTAAGCTCCGGGCATTAGTGTAGCAGACCCGAAGCCTATTTAAGTGGCTTCGGCATCATTCTCTGTCGAAGCCTTAAAACCCGAAAATTTACAATTTTCATGTCCTTTTTGCCAGCGTCTAAACTAAGTTGTAGTTCTTCTTCGGCTTCCCGTATTTTTATGCGGTCTGCCAACGGCAGGTCCTTACGGATAAAAACTCCTGAACCCTTTAATTTATGTCCATTCTATAAAATTAAGTCGCGTTCATTCGAAGATTTGAATACTACTTTAAGCAGTCTGGATTGATTAGGCTTCAAATTCGCTTGACTACCTAGTCTGTACACCTTTAGCAAGATGACTCCGGGGATATTTTGAGGCCTGAGTTGATTAAGTAGCTGTTTTATCAGCACAACAGCGTGCCAAAAACGATTTTTTGGTTCAGAGCTCTCACTCTCCTTGATTTTATGAAAAATAACTGATTTGTCACTGTGATCAGCCTTCGATTTCTCGACTACTTTTATGGGGGCAGAGTTCCCTTTTATGTCGTTAGGTCGTTTCTCCCTTACAAAATGTATCTATTCGTCAACGTTGCTAGGAGAAGCAACCACAGTTGCGTCAAACATACTGTGGGATTCCAGAGGATTGTCGACGATTTGGGAGGTCAGGTTATGTTTCCCGCTAGAAACCGATTGAGCCTTGCGATTGAGGCTTCTAGGCGTTTCCTGCTGGATACCATTTACAAGACAGGGGACAGGAGAAACTTCTTTTCTTGAGTTTTTGGCTAAGACAGACCTCTTTGAAGACTGTTTTTCCTCCTTTGGTCGGAGTGAGTCACCTGTTTTCGAACTCACCAGAGTTTGCTTCACACCAATTTGCGTGTCAACAGAGCGAGGACTGTTCGATGTGTCCCGACCACGCTTGTCAAAACACTTTTTTGCCACATTTACCAATGAGATGGCCTCGGTTAGCAAACTGTTTGCATCCGAACAGCAGTGTTGACAAAGCCAGACGAAACCGTTTTTACTGAACCGTTGGAAAGCTGCAGGAGTTAAATTCGTGCAAACTTTGTGGTACTAGCCTTTGCACTCATCGCACTGCATGCCGCTTTCAACGGGATAACGACAGCCCGGACGTCGGCAATTGTTTTTTTTGCACTCTCCAGTCATGAAACAGGGATTTTTTTTTAAAAAGAACTAGATACAATAATACTCAGAGACAAAAATGATCTATGACCAAAGAAAGTGAAAAACTGTAGATTGTTAGAACCAAAAGTACTAACAGATACAATAGAAAACAAAGTGCTCGAAATTACCGACGACAAACTAATTTAGAAACAGAAACGATACACAAATCGAATACTTTAAATGAAATAAATTCAATTAAAGTGAAAACAATAGTCTTGATACGTAATAAACGATCAAAACAATAGAATTTACTCAGCGAGGGAAAATATCAGTCCTCTTAATTAGCGCGCGCTAAAATTTACTGCCTCATCAGCTGACTTGCCATTCATACTTAGTCTCTGTTTCTAATCCACGCATTTGCTGCCCAGGGGTCCCGAAACACACACACAAAGCTTCGAAGACACCTATGATCGCATAGTAGTAATCTATGAATGTTCGCTATTCTTAATAACCACTTTGCACACTCATAAAGTAGAAAAAAGTGAACTGATACGCAATTAACTCGCCTTTTGGTCGGAAGACGGATATCTCGCCCACCCCATAAGTGATGAGAGTTGCCAAAAGCCAGTCGAGCCATCTCAACCCGTGCCGAGACCATCAGCACTGATGAGACCCCCAAAATAAGGGAAGCGGTCAATGGATTCAATCACTTCACTCCCTACCACTAATCCAGGCGATGACGCAAGTCAATCCTGAAGTAAATTTTACATCTGGAAGGATAGGACCACGTACCAAATATGCTTGCGCTGTTGGTTAAAGTAAACATACTTTAACGTTTTCACCTGTAGGTACCGTGTTGAGGCAAATGAGATGGAGACATTATTGGCGCATACTCCTAGAAAAAACTTCCCGAACTTGTCTCCATAATAGTCGTCCTCTGGAGCCATGGTACAGTCTTAAAAATTCCTTCAATCTCGACCACATGGCTTCAGTGTTGTTAGTATGAACGCCGGTAGTAGGTCGACAAAATGGCGTTTATGCACTACGACATGATGGACATACCCAAGTCTATGATGGAAACTATACGCTCTCCAATCATCTGTATATGCCGTAGTGCCCGGCTGCACGTATTCCTTTATAACTGGTATTATTGTGCTTGCTTGACGGTTTCTCACCCCTGAAAATGCCCCTTTTACGTTGAACGGTAATAAATTCAAAGTACCTGTCAAGTACATTTACGGAAGTGCTACTTACTCAATCTCCCCTGATACCACTTTCCCCGTTCCATTTACGCCTTAGAACTACTGTTTCATCAATTTCCACAATACTTCCGACTCCTATGAATGATTCGTGTAGACGTGTCATTTTAGGTGCACATATATCACGACAATACTCATACCACTGCACGTCTGAAGTTTCAGTAACATCTGCAAACGCCGCAGCCAGTGTTACTGGTGCCTCTACCATCCAATTCGCGACTATTATCATGATTTGCCTCAGTCTCAGTCACGATCGAGAGAAGAAAGTCCTCGTTTGAGTAAACTTTTTTCTCCAACATAAAGAACAACGAAATACAATCTCAACACGATAGTCTGCACACTGTACTGCAGTCATTTGATAACCGCCGTCATAGGTACAGGAACTTCTTAGTAGTCTCATCTCTTGTAGCCGCTCAATAATCACTTCTCTAAAATCCTCTGTAAACCGATCGCGTGTGAGCATCAGGTGTTGAACTTGTCTTCGTGACCTTGAGATTCCTAAAACGCTTCTGATTAGCTCGTCCATATATTACAGTCTCGCAATGATTGATGTTTTTGCCACTTGCAAATAAAATCAGTATGGACAGATTTCAGATTCAGATTTGTGTAGTAAGGAGAGAAGGCCTACGGCCTATGTTATTCCTTTTCTAGTATGCTTCTGTGAGTGTCCAGTCTTCTCTTGAAAGAGTCAATTGAAGGTGCGGACACCACTGCTTCAGGCAGCAGGTTCCAAGTATTGATGACTCGGTGTGAAAACCTGTATGCCACGGGTATTTTGTTCGTTCTTGGCTTTTCTACTCGCCTGCTATGTCCTCTGAGGTGTCCCGATCTAGTGGGAAGAAAGAGAGAGAATAAGTTAGGTCCGAAATCATTTCTCAGTATTCTGTACATCAATATTAGATCTCCCCTTAGTCTGCGATAGGACAGAGTAAAGAGGTTCAGTTTTTCAAGCCGCTCTTTATATGATAAACCTCGGAGTTCCGGAATTGCACGCGTAGCTGCCCTCTGTACCTTTTCTATTATGTCCGAGTCACCTTTAAAACAGGGGCTTGCAGCCTGAACACAGTTCTCTAACTTAGTTCTCACTAAGGATGTGTATAATGTGGTGAACATGGTAGTGTCAAGCTTCGTGAATGTCCTTTTTAAAGCCCTAAATGTAAATTATTTTCCTTACCGAGACCAAATGTGTAGAAAGGTTAATTTCTCTAGGCAAGTAAAGGCAAACGTCAACATTTGGAAGGTAATTAGAATATCCAATATTCAAAAAACTTTAGTTTTTAAAAAAACAGGTGCAACTCTTTGAAACTTCAAAAGCTAAAAATCTGGGTTTGGTATGATATGAAGCCTAATACGGAGAAAAAAATCCAAGGAAAATGTTGAAGAGTGTGCAGCAATCCAAACAAGACTTAGAAGAACCATACGTTACCTCAACGTTCCGCAAGCACTTGAATTTTCCTCATTTCTGAAACCGAGGTTCGCCGCTAATTCATGTTCCGATATTAAGGAACAGTTTCAGATCCTTAATAGTGCTTATTGAAGTAAGTCTAGCTGCATAACTTTATTATTGCTAGTTACCTCGGTTGATATCCAAGGGTTAGGGGTAGGTGTTGTGTCGGTAAATAAATCTACGTAATAAATAGTTCCGTAAGGCTTCGAGATTAATGCTGACCGCATCAGTTTTACAGGGCACACCCTAATGAAGGTGACTGGTCACCCATCCGCTCCAGATCGTCAATAGGGATCACGGGCTACGCAACCCTCACAACTACTAACCAGTTTAGATCAAACGATTCTCTACATATAGACAACTTTCCACATATATATTTGAACTCTTTCGTTCATGACTTCTGGTTTGAATGGGTTGGTATCTTTTGATTATAACGGCGTTGCGTACAAAGACGTAGTCAAGCCCTGAATATCCATGTGATCTTTAGTGTCATTGATTTGTGGTGATGGGTATATTGAATTTTGTGGATCTTTTTTGTCTGAACGTATAATCCCTTGCTCCGCTGTGACTGCGAGAAGATCAAAATAAAGACCTATTCACTACTTGTCTGGTTTCTTCTGTCAAGTGCACGATGGTTACCTACAGACAGGAAACTGGCGAGCCCTACTGAACACAAATTTATCGTCACTTTTGTTATTGATATTATTTTTTTTACTTAGTCGTAAAAGTATACCTTCTGATTGTCCGTAAACTAAGTTGGGTACATAAATAATTTATTTTTCTTTGTAGTAACCATTTATCGTTCTAATTTTATCACTCTATTGGTCACATACCTCATGTCAGACTCAATACAAACCCAAAACTTGGAAGAGTTGTCACCAGTGGAGATAAACACTCCTATGACTACGAAAATCCGACTTCCAGAATTTGATTGTAGTGATCCTGAGTTGTGGTTTGCTCAACTAGAGCATTATTTCACGAGACACAATATCAAATCTGAAGGAATCTGCTATAGAGACTTATGTTTTATCCTCCCTCTTTCAGTCGCCAAGGTCCGTAACCTGATTTTAAGCACACCATCACCACCACCATACACCATCTTAAGACGAGGGATAATGAACCGTTTATCATTATCAGACAGTCAAAGAATCCAAAGGCTTTTCCATGGAGAAACGCTGGGTGATAGGTCGCCGTCACAGTTTTTACGTCACCTCCAAGTCTTTGTGGGTGATAAAAAAGTAAGTGAAGCAGTCCTAAAACAAGGATGGATACAAGCTCTCCCGTGCTACGTCCAACAATGTTTGGATGCACAAGATCCTGAAGCCTCCTTATCTCATTTAGCAAAATTCCAAGAAAGCGGAAAACGAGTAAACCCTCCCCAGCTTGCGACGACTGAAGAGAGGCGCCTAAACAGTCTCTTGTTTCGTTAGAAACAGAAACTCTGGCTAGAATTTCTTGGTAGATACTGGCGCTGCTCTTAGTATCATCCCTCAAAATAAAACTGAGCTGAGTCGAGAAACATCATCAATTACACTTCAAGCTGCAAATAAAACTAAAATCGCGACATTTGGGCAGAAAACTTTAACACTAGATTTGGGGATCAGGAGGCGATTCTCCTGTGTTTTCACGGTAGCCGATTTAGATCTGGCAATACTCGGGGTGGACTTTCTAGAGAGATACGAATCTCTAGTTGACACTAGGAAACGACGCTTAACACCGAAAGAAACTCCGAATTACACGAAAGGCAAAGAAATTCACATCACACCTCTTAACTTGATTCAAACTCCTTCAGTAACAACAGCGAAATTCCAAGATATACTCGCGGAACTTCCAAACTTAACTAGACCAACCTCACAGCCTTTTAAGGACAAACTAAAAGTAAGTCATGTTATCGAAACCGAAGGTGCGCTTGTGTTGGTAAAACCCAGGAGACTAGCACCAGATAAGCTCATAATCGCCAGAGCCGAATTTGACCATATGCTACAACTGGGTATTATCCGTCCCTTTGAAAGTCAATGGGCGTCTCCTTTGCATATGGTCCCAAAGAAGAGTGAAGGCGATTGGCAACCGTGCGGGGATCACAGAACCCTCAACCGTCAAACTGTACCTGGTAGATACAGCATATCCAATATTTCACAAACGGTTTACAGGGTATGAACATATTTACTAAAATTGACTTAGTCAGGGCATATCACCATATCACGGTGGCTGACGAAGATATCCCCAAGACAGCTATTACACACCTTTTGGCTTGTTCGAGTTTGTACGCATGCCATTCGGCCTGAGAAATGCGGCACAAACATTTCAAATATTCATGGATAACCTACTTCAAGAAACGCCATTAGCACAAAGGTATATAGACGATTTGTTAATTGCTAGCCTCAATTTGCAATCACACAAACAGCATGTATGAGCAGTGTTAAAAAGACTTGATGAACATGGAACGAATATACATTAAAGTGTGTTCTCGGTGTTCGAACTCTAGAATTTCTTGGTCACACAATAAGCCCAAAAGGGATTACACCGATCAAAGAAGAAGTGGATACCATCAAACAATACCCCATACTTAGTTCTCTAACACAACTGAGAAGCTTCGTCGGTCTAATTAACTTGTATCACAGATTCACACCATTGACAGATTCACTTAGAGGAAAATCAAAAGAATTCAATTTGCCTTCTGACGCCGTCGAAGCTATCGAACAGCTTAAAGATAAACTGGCTCAAGCAACTACGTTGATGTATCCGAATTCTCTTGCCCCAATTGCTTTGATGGTGGATGCTTCGGGTGAATTTATCCGCAACGCAACCATGTAAACTTAATGTATCTCCCAGGGTCATCTGTGCGTTCAAGTAAACACAGATTTTGTTATTTCATAATGTATTTTTAATTTACTAACTAGATTATGTTGTTAATTTTGCCCTGTTTTTAATTTTTATTCACCACGTCCGACTGCGTTACACTGTACATTCATTGCACGCTGTGGTGATACTCCAAGTCATAGTGAGTTTAATCTCATAGTTGATTGTTTCCAGATAGACCGTCAGTGCATAATTTTACTGGAGGAAGGTTTGTTGTGCTGTGAACTATGTTTTTACGAACAACTGACTGTTGTCTTCAGTCTCAAAGCAGTATATTTGTAGAATTATAGCCTACTATGATATTAGTACTGCTCTAATAATAGACCTACTAAAATTGTAGATTTGTCATGATATAACTGCTCAATCTTTAAGATCTTACGTGGACGTCACACCATCGACTACACCAACTCACTGTATCGTATCAACTACCAATACATGATGCAGAACAAGGTCAGGCTAGAGAAGGAACAATATATTTAATATGAATAGAAGATATAAGGTAACATTCAGAGGGACCACGCCTGCATGGCCGAGTCATGCCATCGGATTAACTTCAATTCATTCTTCCCACCTACTACATCGTTAGGTATTTCTTCGCGTTAAATATTGAATATCTATTTTCCGAGTTGTCTTGTGTTCAGCTTTGAGGATTGTGTGGTTATGATCCAATGCCACTACATATATATCCTTTGTCTTCTGTTCGGTAAGTTCGACTGGCCTATGTTTCGTGTTTTGGTTTTATCGGCTGAATTATGTGCACTTAGCTACTTTGAGCAACATGTCTGTGCAAGTGAAACAATAACTATGACACTTACTTAATTAAGTATTCTTGGTTGTCGTATAATTCAGTTTAGCCGAAAGAATTATGGTATACTTAAGTATATTGCTTGAAGCCTGTAACGAAACAGATCAGTTTAGTAAGTAGAGCTGCCTGTTTCTGATGAGTATACTGATTCAAATCAGTCTGATTAAAAATAGGAAAAAAATGTCTTTGGTACTGTTGCTGCCATACATTATTTGATAGCTTTAAGTATTTTGGTGTGAGACGCGGGAAATTGGTTTAAACCTTTGTTTGATATTCGATTTTTAATGGAAGTTCCTGAATAAATTTTCAAATCTAATGCTACTTTGTTTCATCTACCTAATCGTTGCAAGAAACCTGTGATACACGAGCCTCTCAGCACCTAGTTCATATGTAGTAAATCTAAGTGATTTAGTAAATATCTTCGTCGTTTTCTCGGGAAACCTACAGACTCGGGTCCTCTCATTATTTATTCTAACCACCACCTGTCACGGCAGCTGATGGATGGACACGCGTTACACATCCTAACCGTACTTGCGTCTAGTCTCATAGCTTATTCAAATGCCATATGGTAAGCAAGCAATGCCTCTACCCACACTAATGGGACACTAGTAACTCAAATGTACCCCGTATGGTACCTTACACTGGCCTACGCACTCGCTTAGCTTTTGAGTGAGAATATTACTACAGTCCTACTAAAAATCCCATGAACATCCTTATCTACATCAAAACAAAACAGTCTGTATATGCTGCATATAGCAATTTTATTTTTCAGAAGATATAACATTTAGAATTAGAGTAAAATGGAAGTATACAGCATGTGCACGTGGTACATGTCTTCACCGATTAACTGAAATAGAGAATACGGATATTAGTTTGACAGGCTTATTTAGAAAGACTAGAGTCTAATTTGAACTTACTGCGTGAGAAAGTTATACTGGAACTACGAATGTTGTAGAAATAGAGTTTCTCGGGGCGTACGAAGCACTCAAACTGGAAGACAGTTGTCCAAAAATAATGCGAATATGAAGATGAAAATTTGCAGGTACTTTTCATCGTAAGGGTGAACATATTAGGTACCGGTTAACATCATACCATAAAGAAACACAAGCTTACCTGAAGAAATAAATTGACTTCAATAGTAGCAGGAAAAACCCAGGAAACAAAGCAAAATCAGGAAAAATTTTGCTCCAACGTTTAGAGTATTGCATTAACTTCTGCATTTTAGCACACTGAAACACTAAATTATGTAGCTTCACAAAAGAAATAGCGGAAAAAACACAGAACGAAGAAAGCCGGCCGACATTTTATAACACAAGACTAGCCAGATTGCCTGAAGAAATACATTGACTTGA